ACACTACCTATACTAATAATATAAAAATCTGCAGTGTTCCTGTGTTTGTTTGAACACGCTAACCTCACGCAAACAAACAACCAATTTTAATGAAGAAACAGTGGGTACTGTGGAAAAACGAAGGAAATTATTCTTCTTGAAGGGGTTTTCTTAAAGTACGCTGCGAAAACGGTTCCAGATACCCAAGAATTACGTATGAAAGAATAAATGAAATTATCTAAAATAAACTTGTGACGTAGACATACTGCTTTTTAAGATTAACAGCTACATTTTATAAAGATGAGGAGGTTTAAAAAAAGTAAATTCCATGCCAATAAAACTTTTCCACGTCTAGTAGTAATAAAGACTGAAGTACTTTCAGATATACACATCAAATCAATAGAAACGGAAAAGAAATTCGATTAGCAACAGTAAACTCAGTAATTACACACAAATTAAATGGCAGAGCTTTTCACAAACGACCTTTGAAATTAAACGCGGTAATGAAGTATGAACGAACTAAAGAGTAACGCGACCTTTCACTAGAGGAACGAGTTGACTCGAGTTTTAAGTCAATATAAAATGCTAAATAAGTAATTGATATTATTTCGTTTAATATACGTGGTTCGGTCTTTTTTTCAATCATTGGAACGACGTTCTTTTCCTCAATAAAGGACTCGATAGACTAAATTGCACAACTTTTTAAATTAATTAACGGTTCTTGAAAGATGATAAGGTGAAATAAATTTTTTTAGACAGAGGACGATTTTTAGGAAAAAAAATAGCTAAGTTTTTTTAACTGAACATAACAGAACGTTATAGTCGATCAAACACGTACTTAATAATAATATTTTTCTTTGTTCAGGTACAAACCCACATTATACAAATGTGTCATAAAGCAACCGTGGTCACGGGGAGACTGAGACCTTGAGACGCGGTCAGTCGGGCCGAAGTTAAGAATCATTTTCAAATAAGTTTAACGGTTTAAAACGCGATATATTAGCGTTTTAAATCGTTAAAGTGTCGAAATTAATGTTTTATTTCCCATCTATTAGGGTTGTATCAACATTGCTGGGAGCTTTGGAGTCGTACAAACGTGTTCCCAGGGCTCCCCCAAAGCGCCGTGGAGGGCTGGTGTGTTTAGTGGTTTGATTACCCACACTCCCCATGTCACTATTGTCCGACGTGGGCGTGCATTAGGCATTCACACCATCAGTTAAATAAAAGGTTTGTATCAACATAGTATTAATCTTGCAAACAACGAAATAACATTTTCCGGACCAGCAATTTGTGATTACTTATATTTCTGTAGTTTAATACAGATATTAACTAGATAAACCTTTACATCTACGTTGAAATCCAATCAAATAAACCTCTGTTGACCTTGTCATAATCAATTTCAGTCTTCTATTTGTGTTACGTTTTCCCGAGAGCCACATATTGATCGGCCATTCTAGATAAATTAAATCCGGGAACGAGCGGGCCATTCTTATTCTCATTCCACTCGTAAACCTCTCTCATTTATTTTCATAGGCAACAAAATTAACTATTATTCACTGAAAAAGGTTTCCGTGAAATATTAACAGAATAAATGTCAGCTGGTTCGCCTGGTAACTTTTAATGCATGTAGTTGCAGAATTTTTAAATACATTTTTGTACAATTGCCATAAAAGTTAATTTTAAATACTGTCTATAGTTTAAACGTTTAAATAGAACAATTTATTACTTTGCAGCCGTGGTCACGGGGAGTCTCCCCGTGACCACGGCTGCTGCAAAACATCCGACACTTCAGGCGGAGGTTAAAAATCATTTTCAATAAGTTTAACTAATATATCACATTTTAAATCGTTGAAGTGTTTTATGTAAAGTTAATTTTATTCGACACGTGTTAGTAGAAAGTTTGAACTTTGATATGGCGCTTGGAAATAGAGCTTTAAATTTGTAGTAATACAAAGGACATCAAGAACAAACTTTCGCATAAAACACAATCTTAAGTACCATTGATTTTATTTGCTCTGTGGCTCTATTTCAGTCTGTGGTTCTCCAAAACCTTTTCATTATTTAAGGAAAGAGCGCTTCTATAAAATTGCTGAACTTTATTCTACTAATACTTTGATCGTCAGTTTTTTAAGTCTTAGTCAACTGTGAAAATCTACTTCAAAAGCAAGAGAGCCAATTTTTTAGATGAATATATTTTCTCGATGAAATAAATTTGAAGTTAGATTATAATACCCAATGCTACCTTAGAAACAGACGGTAATCTATACTAATAAATATAAAGCTCGAAAGTTTGTTTGTTTGTTCGAACGCTGTAATCTCAGGAACTACCTGTTCGAATTGCAAAATTTTTTTTGGTGTTGGTTTGAGGCTAGAGCATTTATTGAGGAAGGCTATTGGCTACTTTAGTTTATAAAGATGGAGGGGTTTGCGAAAACGATGGTATTCTACGCGGACGAAGTCGCTGACACAGCTAGTATGAGTATATATTTCATTCTGTATTATCTCTAGATAGTGCTAAAGTAGATACAGATTTAAATAAAATACTTTTAACGGTTTAATACGAGTTTTATTGAACTAATTTACAATCTATTTTAACTACAGCTCGACGTTTTGAATACTGTACCGCAACCTTGGTAACTGGAGGATTGTTAGTAAGTGATATATTTCGAGTTTTAAGCCGTTAAAATAAGTATTTAAATAAATACTTCATTCACTCTTTAGTTTTAATAAAACTTAAATGGAGTCATCTCATTTCGAGGAATGTATGAAAATTCATGAATTAAAAGTTATTTACATGTTTTTAGTATGAAGGGAATTATGTACTTATAGAAACGTCATGTCAAGAATCGGTAGTACATACACTGAAATTCAACTGTACGTAGGCATCCGAGTACAATGTGCACGGAACTCTGAACTCTATTTATGAGTCGAGATGGCGCAGAATCGTCCTCAAACGATATTTGACAGATCATTTTTCATATTCCACCTCGCAATGTGAAAAGGCACGTTTTCCCTTCATATCTCGCTGCTCACTTTGACGATTTTTGTTTTCAACGCGGGAAATATTTTATTCAGTCGTCCTCTTCAGGCCTTTTGATTTACCACATCATTTATTCACCGCAGGTATGTGGCCGTAAGTATTTTCGGCTGCGGTTTTTATTTTTGTAACAAGCAATTTTGTGTTCGTTGGTGTAATTTTTGCAATGTAAGGCTGATAACTAACGGGTCGTGGAATTGATCCCCCGGTCCAACATGTCTATAATCAAATACTGTCTATAGTTTACGCGAGTAGTACACATTTAAATAAAACACTTTAACGGTTTAAAACGCGATATATACGCGTTTTAAACCGTCATTTTCAAATACTCATTTTCAAATAAGTGTTAAAAATGATTTTTAACTTCGGCAAGACGTTTCGGGTGCTTTGCAGCAGCCATGGTCACGGGGAGACAAAGCATCAGAAACGTCGGGCCGAAGTTAAAAATCATTTTCAAATAAGTTTAACTAATATATCGCATTTTAAACCGTTAGAGTGTTTAATTTAAATGTCTATAATCACTTTAATATTTTTCACATATGCCACGACGACACAGTATGAATAGATTAATAATCGATTATAATATCGACTCCAATCGGAATCCATAGCGTAGAACTCAGTAGCTCCATTGGTTAGAGCAACAGCACGGAACCTTTTGGATGCCGGTTGAAGTCCTGCACGTGTCGTAATTTTTTTCATATTTAATCGATTTTTAATTTATGTTTCTAAACAATTTATAATTTTTCTAAAACACGTTGGACTGCGTTTAGAAATCTGGGTACTAAATGGAATATCAAAATTTCGTCCGGGTCAGGAATCAGCGTCCGCAGATGAAAAAGCCATCAAGTTAATAGCGTTGCGGTTTCAGTCTGTGGATTTCCGAATATCCAAAGTCAAAATATATCTTTGCTCGCGACAGCTCATCCTGTGTAAATGTTATATGGCTGGGGTATTTCACATACCATCAAGTGAGGTCCATCTTCTTCTCCTCTTTTATCATAAAAAAACAAGTTTTTCTACATTTCCAGATCCCGCCATGTATATTTACGTGTTATTATAATGTTTCTAATTACTATTGTATTGTTTTCTATTTATAACTATAAGTGTGCGTACATGCAATGTTGCATGCTACAAGCCATTAGTATTTGAATGAACTTAATAATGCAATCGTGCAAATTTTAAAATTACCATTCAAATGGATCTTGAGAGTTAATCTTAAAGGATTATTATTATTATTATTATTTTCTTTCGGGGACACCTGGGGTAGGACGGGTGTCCTTTCCCAGACTTTATTTCTCTAATCAGGCAAGCTTTGTGGAGTGCCTCTCTTAGAGTTAAAGATAGACATATACTGTATTTTTTTGGTCATTTAAAGAGCAACAATTCTACTGTACACGTTTTTTGGTTTATTAAACTATTTTCGCAGCGCCCGCAATGGAAACTCTCGAACATAAATAAATGGGTGATCCTATACGAACAAAGAATTTTAATTCGAACCAGCAGTTCATGAGATTAGCGCGTTTAAACAAACAAACTCTTTAGCTTTATAATTTTAGTATAGATTCGTTTTTAGAGCAGTTAGACATACCATATCATTTTAAAGAAATAAAGTCTTTTATATTTTTTATTTGTTTAAGTTTATAAGACGTCCTTAGTTGTACAATTTGGATGACACTAGTCACCCACGACACAGGCTTGCCCTTGTGTTGTCATGTACAGTGCACTCCAAACTTTTTAGCCGGACTGAAGTTGGCGCGACCGCCATCTTGCGCATGGTATTTTAAGCAGTCAGTCGAGTCGTCCCGCACCCGCGAATCCCCTTTGTACCTGATACCTCATTATTTCGATATGCGCAACTATCCGCGCTAACTTCAGCACCGCCAAAAAGTTTGGAGAGCATTGTATAATGAAGTATATTAAAAAATTATAAATAAAAACATTGTTATAACGAGCACTTGTAGAAGTACCCACCTTCGTAGGTTCCTTATAACATCGGACGGTGATACATATTTTGGAGTAATACCTGTACAAGATCACCATGAACACCTCCCGCTGCAGTAATGGTAATCAGACAGACGTAAGGCACCAGGTCCTCTCTTGGACGATGTAGTTCCAGCTCATAGGTTCTACCGATGTCGCCATAGTACGTCTTGTTACAGCCTGTAAAGAAATATTCTGGTTACTTACAGGACACATACGATGGCGTTAATTTGATGAAATGTCACTTAAAACCTTGTGCAAATGCGCTAACGACCTATTTTTCTTCAAAATATAGTGAAACCATTCTCTTATTCATTTTCAGTTTTATGTGTAGAGTCAGTATGCGAAAAAACCTTACAATATACCACAATAATAAACTATTTACGGATAGGTTGTTTTGTTTAGTTAAGCTTCTGTTTTGGCACCTTTATTTAAAAAAAACTGTACAGTAACTATACAGTCTTCCGTGAAGACGGATGCTGGAAAGCATCTGAAATAACGGGCCGTAGTTAAAAATAATTTTCAAACAAGTTTAGGTAAAATATATCGCGTTTGAAACCGTTTAAGTGTTTTGGATGCTTTCGTCGTCGAGTCAAAGTTAAAAATCATTTCCAAATAAGTTAACTAATATATCGCGTTTTAAACCGTTAAAGTGTTTTATTTCAATGTGTACTACTCGCGTAAACTATAGACAGTATTTATTTTTCGTTTATTCAATACCATGTGAGAAATAATAAAGTTCAAATATCAAATTGTTAATTCAACTTATCCTTGCTTGCAAGTAATATTCTATGAGTTAACATAGACATTTACGCCAATCCGAGTCACCGCAAAGTCTAACCACATCAGAATTCAGCAAGTCTATGAAACTGCTTTGAAAGCTTTCTTCGAGTACTAAATTATGCATGATAAAACACCTTTGCCGATTACTTCACACACGCGGCATACTGAACAAGGTTACAGTGAGTTTGATCGAAGACGATCGCTATATCTATACGTCTTATTTGAAATTCCTGGAAAAATCGAAGATATGTAACGCTTACACGTCTTGCTTAAACGGGACACGGTAGCTCAATTTAGTTGCGCAAAAGCATTTTTTTCGTAAATTCAACTAGCGCCTGTGTTAACCACTCCATGGAAGGATATTAAATAAAAATATTTTTTAAATGTAAAAGATTTATTACAGTAAATATAACAAACTTAGAGGACTCAAATTGATCACCTGTTTGCTTGTTTGTTTTTTTTTATTGGTTTTTAGTGCAAGAGATAATAGTAAAATTAATTGTAGATTCGATTGCCATCAGTTCAAACAAGTTCATCAAAATAATTTTTCTGCAACACGTTGGACTTCGTCTGCAAATCTGGATATTTGGTAGTAGAAATATGGAGATTCTGTCAGAATCAGGAACTACCGTCCACGGGAAAAAGCCTTGAAGTAGAATCGTGTTTCGGTTTCAGTCTGTTTATTTCCAAATATCCAAAACAAAATAGGTCGACTACACTTTCCGATGTTGCCGGGGCATTTCACTTTCCATCAAGGGAGCCCCCCCCGTCCGTCCCCCCCCCCCCCAAAAAAAAACCCTTTTTTTTTTTGAGGAAAGAGCAAAAAGTAGAGAAGGAGATTTCCAAAGTCTTTGCAACTACAAACCTAATATATATATTTATTGTAAGGCGTTAACTATTTATAAATATTGTTATTTTCTTAAGAGGATAAGGATCTATTTAAATAAAACACTTTAACGGTTTAAAACGTGCTGTGCTGTTTATTGGGATCCAGAGTTTGTTAAACTCTGGATCCCAATAAACAGCATACCGGCAAACGCGAAGACACCGTTAGTAAATTCTGCAAGGACCCGGCCAGTTTCGCCAAATACCAACTTCGACGGAACAGATGGCGCTAGCGTAGCAATTTTTTACTTTGATGTCAGAGACATCCTCCATCCTCCCGTCTCCCCGTGACCACGGCTGCTGCAAAGCATCCGAAACGTCGGGCCGAAGTTAAAAATCATTTTCAAATAAGTTTAACTAATATATCGCGTTTTAAACCGTTAAAGTGTTTTATTTATATGTGTACTACTCGCGTAAACTATAGACAGTATTTAGCTAAGTATCTAAGTAAAGTATCTTTAGATTGTTTTCTCTTCATAAACAGGCGGGAGGAAAGACCTACAAAATTATACAAATTCATATTATAATATACTAAAATTTAACAAAAATAACTACTATGTAATAAATACTTGTAAAATATAACTTATGGTGCGCAAAAGTACTTAATGAATTTTAATGGCGTTTCACAGTGGATTTCCAAAGATCCAAAGCCGAAATAGGGCGACAGCACATCGTGTTACTATCTTATATAGCTAGGGTATTTCGCTTTGCCGCTGCAAACCACATGCTTGGCAGGCCTGCGATTTTAAATTGTGTAAAACTGAATGACCTAAAAATCAATCTATTATAAACGCAAGTGTATCTAAGGGTCACCGCTTCATGTCTCGCCCCTAGCACTTTACTCTAAATATAAACAAAGGGTCGTCTCATATACCAGCAAATAGCTCGCATTTGTCATGTTTCACACACATTCCACGTGAAGTATTTCTGTGCTCGCGTCCATATAAATTACAAGATATAAATATAGTAAAATTGTTTCATATGAAAGAACAAAAGCAAGTAATATTTTTGAAGATATTGTGTGTTGCATTGAAGATATTGTGTGTTGCAGTAGAATTTTTAATTTCAAAGGTTTGTAATTAATGATTTGGTACACAAAAATTACAGATACACAGTTAATTTTTTACAAATATACGAACGCACTAACACGCCTTATTTTTATTATACTACTATATAAAGCTGACGAGTTGTGACAAAACAAATTTGGATGCCCAAAACAACTATTCTACGCGGACGAAGTCGCTAACAAAGCTAGTAAATATATATAGAAAGAACTTTATAAGTAATGAACAATGTACAAGGAGTGCGGAACTGATATATTTCAAAAATATACGACAGTCCTTTATAAAAAAAATACTCTAAATTCAGCGGTCTGTATAAAGTACATACTAATATCGCATCTACTCGCGTAAATTACAGTAAGTATTTGATATAAGTATGAAAGCGTTATCCTATGTATTTCCTCCCTCAGTAATCCAATTCATTCAACACCAAATCTCATTTCATTAAGCGAACAGCATTAATCTGTTATTTATGTGTGTTGGTTACGGGACAAAGTTCGTACATCAATGCAGGCGAAACTTGTGTTGTGTGCAAAGTTCTCCGTCTAGAGAGAGCTTTCAAGTTGATTGCCCAAACAATAAATACGTGTCTTTGAAACGTGAAATGCTTTGAACCATTTAATGAGAGGGGGCACAAAGCGGAAACTTTATTATGTATTTGTACCTTTAGATCATTGGTATTCAGTTTTAGTTCGAATACAAGGTATTTAATAGAATTGTATTGTATAATTCTACATTCATCCCTTGATGCCTAAAAACGCTGTCAATAGGAGGCGGGTAGAAAAATAGAATTTGAAAGAAAATTTTAAAAATAGTTCCATAGTTAAAATAATCGGCTAATTGTAAGTGGAACAGATTAAGTATTGTCTGTAATTTACGCAAGTAGTACGTACTTTAATAAAACTCTTTTAACGGTTTAAATCGCAAAATACATTTGTTAATTTCACCTTGCATCTCCAACCCAACCTTCCCTTGCCCGCGGTTTAGCAACAAAAACTTCGCAGTCGTAGTAGTAGTAATATATTAATCTATATATAAATAATATTAATAAAGTAATAAAAATCATTTTCAATAAAATTTAACTAACATATCGCGTTTTAAACCGTTAAAGTGTTTTATTTAAATGTGTACAGCTCGCGTAAACTATAGACAGTATTTAGTAGTAATATATTTCGCGTTTCAAACCGTTAAAATATTTTATTTAACGTACCAAATAAACTTCCGTGGATCAGTAGCCAAATTATGTTGTTACTTTGATTAATTGACTTGGTACTACCATGAAAACGAAAAAAAAATTTAAACATCGAAAAAATTTTCGTCTTGGGCAGGACTTGAACCGGCATCGTCAGCGTTCCGTGCTGTTGCTGACATTTTTTAAATTGTTAAATTATATAGTGCCTTCATGTGCAATAACATGTAAAAAATATTAAAGTTTTCCAACGAAAATTTTTTTTAAGTAACATAGGATCAACTTAAACGCTATGAACGCACATACAATGCTACAGCTTTGCACTTTTGTCTCTTCAAAGCAACAATATTTAATGAACATCAAAGTCATGTTTGTGCACATAAATGTAATGAAAGAGTGTTGTGAGGAGTCCTTTGTATAACTAGAGCCTTAATTACGGTGGTGCATACATTTTCATAACGCAAGCTTCTTTGAACTTTTGTTGAATGTTAAATTGAAAGAAAATATTACTGTAACACAAAATGGCCGCTTTCAAGTACCAGTTATCCCGTTAAGTTAAGTAAAATTGTTATTTAAATAAAACATTTTAAACGATTCCAAACCTAATATAGTAGTTTAACTTAAACGCACTTTAAGTAGCGCGTTAATTTTTTTTTAATTATGCAAGTAGTGCCTCCTTTCCTCAACCTTGATATAGTCGGTAGATACAGTCTGCCCTAGCAAAAGAACATGTGATATTAAGTCAACTGAGTAATTACAGTATAGTCTGTAGTCTACGTAAGTAAAACAGTTAAATAAAACACTTTAACGACTTAAAACATGAAATGTAATCGTTAACGTATCTACAATTTCGGCCCGACGTTTCGGATTATTTGCAGCGGCCATGGTCACGGGGGCATTGGGGATGAGGGGTGTCTTTAATGTCAAAGTAAAAACTACTAAGCTAGCGGCATCTGTTCTGTGACGGACCTTGTGAGTTACCGTTTATTTAAATAAGTAATTACAGATTGAAAAAGTAACACAACGGCACAAGAGTAGTACTAGTAAAATATATGTTATTTTAAGAGTTAAAAGGTATTTTTATTAAACCTTTATCATTACATTTAACAAGGACGATATTTGAAATTACATAACAGCGTAGCTAAACTCCTGTTGGTGTAAATTGAGCTACCATGATCCGTACCTGATCATTGACTTCACTACCTTGGTAAACATGCATAATAGAGTTTTTTTCATACAATAAACTTGTGAAAATTATAAGC